TTAATTGAATTAATTTTTACTATCAACAGTTTAATTTATTTTACTGTCTGGTATACATAATCTTACGTTATTTTCTACTTCATTTTTACTGCGTTGTCTCTTTAATTTTATTCGTATAACAAATCCAGCCTGATCCCTGTCTGTTGGCAACGTAAAGCTGGTTCGTAGCCATTGCTAGTTCCATACTGGGTCTTCCCTCGTGAAGAACAAGCAAAAGAAGAGAAACGTGTATCGACCTCGGTCTTAGGTGTGGGTCGAAGTGGTTGGAAAAGTGGAAGGAGAAGTCCAACGGTCAAGAGGGGTGCTGGAGAAATAAGAGAGCAAGAGATTTACTAGTCTGGCGACTTTGTAATAAAAAAAAAATAATAAAAAACAAGTTAAATCATTCGTACAAAAAGTAACAAAAAGTCAAAATAAAAAATTCTTTTGCTATTTTATCAAAAAATAGCAGAATTTATTGAAAAAGGAGAATATTTGATCAACAGCAGCAGCAGCAGCAGTAAGCATTAAAAGTCATTGAAAATAATTTTGACCATGACAGTATTTATTTTTTTCAACGTCAATCATTGAGTTGTCTCTTTAAATATTCTTCAATCGCACGATAAATTGCCACAAAAACCTTTTAGGTATGTTTACTCTGATGCTCTGGAATGTGAAGAACGTGTCCTTCATCATTGACATCAACCTGAATCTGCGATTCTTCCGTGGTCACTGATGTTTTTGTCGACTCCAATGCCACATATCTGATGAATAATCCACATGAAGATTGAATTGACACCTGACAAATTTGTAAAAGAGTAAAAGAGTGTAACATGGAAGGAAATATTTCAAGAATACTTTGGAAAATATATGTTGCTTCAATGTTGAAGTCTTGTCTTTATCCTTCTTCTCAACAGCTAGCTATTGAATGCATCTCCTTCTCTTGTTCTGGCTCGTACAAGACCCAGACACTTCTCTTATACGCATGTACACGTCATCGCCAAGTATATAATGTTCTCTGGCAAGCAGGCTACTCAGATATCTCTCTCAAGTTCAGAGGAAGACTTTAGCGATGGCTCAGAGAGTAGTTCCCCTCTTTATAGAAGCAGTTAAAAGATTGACTTGCGTTATACTTTTTCCTCTGGTACGTCAGTGAGTCATTGAATGAGAGAGGAACGCTATCAGAAGACGAGTGTAGCAGTTGAAATTGATGATTGGAGACCATTGGAGATGATTTGCGACGAAAAATTGAACGCTCTACATGTCTGAAGCTCGTTGGCCTCGCAATCGTCGAGCGGAGGCTAAGCAGAGAGGGGGAGAGGTCAGTCACGGTTATACAGAGACAGTCACACATATACGCAGTGTACGACACACCCTGGGAATAATGGATGTGTTACACGGCTACAGGGATTCAGAGAAACACGGACGGTGGCAGACAGCACCAACATTACGGAGGAGGGCAGCAGCCAGACGAATGGGAGACTGTTACACCCAATTGTCCCTCGTTGTGCAGGGGTCAAGTAAGGTAGCCAAGCGAGCACGGCAGACACCATCATCCGTACATGCTATTGGATAAATACGTTCAGTTGGAGAATATAAGCATATACTACATTGCCTCGAGGCCATGTGAAAACACTTTCACGAGGTATTTCCTACTACATTGTCATAGATTAAACCTCATTGTCTGCAACTTGTCTTCTTAACAAATCTAAGTGTCATGATGACTTCAATGCTAGTTAGATAGTAACTTGCTAGATATGCAATCCACATCTTTTTGTGGTATTGTTCAAAACTTGGAGTTGCTATGAGACTAAACATAACATCCTGCTTTATTTATATTTTATATATTGATGAAGAAAGTCTGGCAGAATACAGTTATGAACTATGGTGAATATTCAACGGATCCCAAGCAATTTGCACAGATGATGCACATTAGCACACCTCAGTACAATCATGTCATAAATTACTAGCTGGTTAGCCGCCGCCAGGGGTCGTCGAGATTCAATTTTCAAGCTTCGCTCTTTCTTTTCTCTCTTCTCCTTCAATGGACCCAACAGTGATGGCAGATTAGAAATAACCTGGTCCCGTTTGGTAGTGGAGAAAATCTCAGTATATCTTGTCATACCGTCACCACAATTTTTTTCATGGTCACACACGTGTAAGGTTATTCTGCTGATGTTGACCCTATCATCATAATCATCATTGCTATTATCTTTTTTTTTTTCATGATAAAAAATATTCCTCCTTTCTTTTTGTCAATTCCAACCTCTCCAATGGATCTCTCCTCAGAACTAACTATAGATTTTAAGTCCATGAAACTTGCTAGTGATCTCTAACAAGTTCCCCTGACGCAACCTGCCTTCTTGGAGTCACTTTGGCGCGTAAGTCAACGCTGACGTCAGCTTCTGCCGGCCTTTTGCCCTATTTGAGTTGTAACATGTGCTAAATACACTTGCTAGAGCATTTTCTTCAGCTTTATAAATATTTGAAACATTTCAGAATCTTTTCATTTATATCTCTACCTATTTTATTTTCTTTTATTATAGCATGAATTGTTATTTGAAATTCAATTCAATACTTAAACAATACTTGATAACAATTGAATAAATTTGTTTAGAATTCTTTGTTTAAAGATTAAAATTATTATAGAGAATAATTACATAGAGATACGTGTAATTGATATGAATGATTAAATAGATTAAATAATGATATCAATATGGTCACGCAAATCTGGAATTCAAGAGCAGTTTAATCTCCTACTTGAGAACACAGAGGTAGTAGAGCACAGCAATGGAGATCGAATTTGTTAGGCAAACGAGATCAAATTGGGCGTCTGAACAGCATAACTAAGTATCAGAATTACGAGGTTTCTGTAAGGAGCGTGGTGGGAAATCACTAACCATCAGTCTTTAATTAACTTTCCGTAATTACCATGATTAATTAAAAAAGCCATTGATCTATTTCAACACATAAAGCTTATTTGTTATTGGAGGATATTGAGTTTGGTGGGACTGGTTGGTTTAGTTGACACTACAATCGTATGAGTGATCTCTGAGCGTGCTGATTGGTGGATACCGTAAGCATCACTAGCTCCTGGACCCAGCTGACCCTCTGACCCCAGCAACTCGTTCGCTTTTATCGTCTGGATTGATGTGTCGGGTGGTGCTGACTACGCGGTACAATAACGCGACTCACGTTGGTGGGAGCGGAATTCTCTACCGAGCGACAAACAATTGCCGCCAAGTGGCTTAATTGCAGTCAACTAAACAAATGGTGTACGTTAAAGTCCCTGGACGCGAGTTTGTACGCCTCTAGGGGAACGTTGATGACACCCAGTTGGACAGGTCCGCGAATATCATCATCATTTTCTCAACCCAACCCTTCCCGTTTGTTGGACCCTACATGTTCCCACGTCACTGCTTGACCTCCAGTGTGAGAGCCAAATGATAGGCAACTGCGTCACCACCTTTGTATAGCTTCTTAGCCAATGCGTAGAAAATATTTCAACACACTCAACAACTCATCATCTATTTGGCTGTTTCAAATATCCCTGGAGTCTAAATAAAATTGTCTGTTTACCAAGACTTCCAAAGCTACTGGTTAGGTAGTGTAGGTGTACTACTGAGTGTACTCTGGCTTTAAGAGAGATTCCCATTTATCAGAGGACATCCGCCGGAAGTGGGGCGGCCCCTGCGTAGGTGAGAGAACAACATTGCCATTTCGTTATAGTCTTACTCTTTCTTTTCCTCTTTCTCTCCGTTCTCCGATAAACTTTAGACCTTTTTGCGTTTAAGATAATTCTTTAGATTCTTACTAGAAGTCAGGTTATGCTTCATTATTTTAGTCACTGCTTAAAATAAACTTCCTCATTTTTGATGATTCCATTTAGGAAGATAAAGTACACCAGTCGTTGTTATCATTTTTTATTTATAATTTCTGGTAAAATTAGTCACTCATTATATTTTAATTCAATTTAATTCAAGTTAGGTTTCATATTATTTGTCATTTTAAAATTCATATTTATGTTCAACTTTTTAAACGATTTATGAACATTAAAAGTCAATGAAGAATTTTCTCTTTAAACCAGTTTTCTTTCAAATAAACTTGAAAACCACAAAATTAAGGTTAGTACCTTAAATAATGAAAATTGATCTTCAAAATCGCTTTAGCAAAAGAGACGAAGATTATCGAATTAATTGAACTTTGAAGTGAAATGTCTCATGAACTTTCTAATTAGTGATGAAGATATTTGATGACAAAGTGGAACAGAGGTGAATTATTGGAATAATAAACGTAAAAGAAGAAAATGGCAAATTAGGTGATGATGACGAATGATGATGAGATGGTTGGTCTGAGGTGAGAGATTCTTGTTTGGTTTTTGGGTCGCGGTGTTGATGCCTTTTTCACGGAATGCTAAGATATCCTACATTGAGTCCATACCACAAGTCTACGACTGCAGGGACAGCACTTGCGGTGGGATATCAGTTAGTTGCTTATATGTGCAAGCGAATGGGGAATACCGGTCGACCTTCTGATGTTGCAACGAACTGAGACCTGGCACAGATAGACCACCTATAGTTTTATGTATCTCGTCGTTCTCTCTTCCATAGCTTGCGCAAAACTTGTCGACCGTTTCTATGGGAAACCCCGTTAATTTAGTAAAGGAATCAATCAGAGTTCCAAGCTAGAGAGAGTCTGAAATCGATTGTGGACGAGTAGAAAATCGAGGATGGTCTGTGAGATTGTGGCACGCGATCAAAAGTTGAAAAATACATAGTGAATTGATGGTATATAAGAAATCCGGACGAAAATGCTGACTTCTCTTTCTTGCACACCTTCAATGTGGAGACGTCGCCTGGCGCACAGGCGATTATCCACTCCAACGATTTGCATGCGAATGGCTCACGTCACGATCCAGACGCGTGGCTACCTAGCTAACTTATTCTTTTTTTTATTTAACTTATATCCGTTAAAATGTATCTAGACTTTTGGATAACGCTTTACTTGTTGGATTGTTGCAGGAAAACATTTCGACTCCGGAGTCTGCTGATATTACAGAAGACGATCATTATTCCAGTGAGCATTCTTTTTTTTTTTTACATCTTACAATCAATCAAACGTCCACATTAGTCATGTTTTATCTTGAAATTATTTTATTGAATTTAATTACTGTCGAGTGAAACCAAGGTAAAGTGAAGTGTTGGAGTAAACTGAGACACCTTTTTTTTTAAGTTGAAATATTTATGGGCAATGATTGAAAAGTAGTTTTTTAAATAAAATTCATTTTTTAAGCTAAATAAATATTGGAATTTATCTATGAAATAAATACAAGAATTATGATAATGATATTGATGTTTATTTATAGCATCAGTAGTAATCATAACTTATCAGCGTTTTTCAAGAAAAAATTAATTAATGTACAATTGCGTTATAATTTCAATTCATCACTAAATTGCATTCCTACATTTTTAATCAACCAATTTATTAAAAAATTATTACCAAGTCATGTAAAAAATTAATCTAATAATCCATTGTTTTTAATTATTCAGGAAGAATTAAATCAATATCATTAAATAGATAATTATCTCAAAAATCATTTTATTAATCCAATCAAAGTCTAATTTTTTAAAGCTATTATTTTTCTTATCATATCAACAAGTAATAAGAGTTGTACATATGCAGACATTGTAAATAAACACCTTAACTAAATAAAAAAAAAACAAATCTTCATAAAAACAAAGAGTCTCAGTTTGCAATAAATTATTTATCAGTCATAATAGAATATGAATTTATTTTGGTCTCATTCCAACAATTCTCCAACATTGCATCAAATATGCAACTTTATTAATGTAGGCGATTGATGGAAATATAATTAATGATTAATTTCATGTTCGATGTGCATCGAGGGCCAAGAATACATATCTTAATGGAATGAGAAGCATTAAAGTCAAATAACCTATTGGCTGGAATATAACGTTGGTTTGAAATAATATATAATTGAGTACGCGCGGGCAATCGAAAAGGCAAAAATTAGTTCTCTTGGTTTCTCTGACTCTTTCTACTGAGAGAGTGCCAACATCGAGCTAGGTCGTCGCGTACCGTTTTGGGTAGATGACCTAAATACTGACAGGAACAGGAGGTGTCTCATCACCGCTATCGGGTGTGCTTGAATCATTTACAAGAACCGTCCATGCATCCTCTGCTGTCATGTATTTTACCCTTTAACGATCGATAAATTTCTGGCTTTCCTACTCCCAACCTTTCCTGGCACATCTCTTGCATAATTTATGTATTATATTATTTAATCAATTTACCATATTTTCCCTTGAACATTCCACATTCATTTCTTCGTGTTTTTTTTTAACGAAAAGTCGTTTTCTAACGCCTGGCCTGCGTTTTATTGATTTTTCTATTATTTTCCAGTGTCTCACTGTGTGTGTGTATTATAATGATAAGAAGCTACTGATTATTCTGGCCCTTGGATGTCACGCTTATTTTTAATAATGTTGATAGCACAGGCCTACTATTTAAATGTATTTATTATTCACTATGCTATTAATTAACATTAACTATTTTCTTCATTATTATTTAATTACAACAAAATTTTTGGGTTAATTGTTTTCAAAAATTAGTCAAAACAACATAAGTTTGTTGAATAGTGATGACAAAAATAGTTAAATGTTGCTAACGAATGGAGATAATTGCTGATAATTAAACAAAGAGCACAACTTGTAACAACAAAGGGATGTAGACCTGTGTAATTAATAACTTAAAAAGAAATGCTAATAACGTAAACATCAATTGGCACTATTGTTTGTTGAACTCGGCAGACGCGCTCGTGAGAGACGCGGATAAGCTGAAGTTGATGCTGCTCGCGTGGAATTATAATCTTCAGCAGCAGGCACAGGCGCAGGCTGCAACAGCAGCTTTATCACCGAATAATTCCTCGACAACCACGTCCAACACCATCGGCACACCTGTCACCAGCCAATCAGCCATTTCCACGGCAAACAACACCATTAACAACTCCACACTTACAGGTAACACTTTTTTTCACCAATCAATCTCAACTGCTCTTTTGCTTGTTCAAAGTGTCCATCACTATTTTCTATTTAAATAACTAAAATCCTTTGTATTCACAGCAATAATCATATAAATTGTTTCAATGTTTCAAATTTCATCATAAACAATCAAATAATTATTTAACAATGCATTTTAATGCACAAATGTATCTAATGGCGTCATTAAAGGATAGCATCAGTATATTGTAATATAAAACCTGCATGCTTGTGAATAGCCATGTGCTAATGTCATTATCATTCCACATTGCCAGAAGTACATGATCAAAGAGTAAAAAAAAAATAATAATTTTTTTCTTGCTTATGATGGTCAAAACCACATGGAGAAACATCATGACAAAAGTGTCTTGAGCGATTAAATCCTCTCGTGAATCACCTCAGTGTAGAAACAGTGATGATACAGAAAGAACAGTGTCATATCAACCTGGGTAATCTCCTGCTTATCATCGCCCATGACATTTGAACGATAAGACTTGAATGGATATTGCGTTGAATGTAAGCATGGAGTGAGCATATACGTAACATACATGTTATCCGATATATACATTCTGTCTTAGTTCAAGTCGTTGGACTTACTTTACGGAAGGATAATTCACCCTTTTTCTTCAACATCTTCAAGTTCTTTATTCTTTCTTTGGTGTCTTTCTCTCTCTTTTTCTCTACCTTCTTCATCATCATGATGTTTTCTTCTATTTCGCCTTCTTCAGCTGCTTCTTTTCCTCCTCCAATAGTATCTACAGCTCCTCGTGGCCGGTCAGATGCGAAACTGGTTATGCTGGCTCTTCTACGGCGTCGCATACTCGTCGTTGCGTAATGAACCAGCTTTCGGCATGGTCTTAAGAGCGACTGGTCTCTTCTCCATTCCTTGCGATCATGGTCAAGCGGTCATAATTCAACTTAAAACAACTCAACAAAAAAAGATATACCATTTTTTTTCACCGTGTTATTTCTCCTTTAAAAGTCTAAGATAAACACGCAGTCCTCGATATAAGAAAGACTTTAATATGATATCAACTTGTTTTTGAGTTAAAAAATTAATTAACCAGTAACACACAAATACATCTAGAGGATTATTTTATAAAATAATGATCAAACAATTGTTTTGGTTGTATTAACAAATAAACAATGATTGAGCAATAAAAATATTGAGAATAAAATCACATCGTAATGCAATTGACGTTTACTTTACTTAGATAAAAGTGTGTGTTTTTTTTTTCTTTTTTAAATCAAAGAGCATTCTGGTCTCAAGTGCGGGTATATCAGTTTTCTTGAGTGTAGAAGTACTACAGTATCATGGTAAGAAGTCAAAAGAATAGCCCGAGGACGTTGGCACAGGATTTCAGGTTCAGACTCGCGGCTAGAGCCAAGTTGTCAAACGAGCCGGCGAAAGGAGAACGTGGATCTTCGTAACCGGCTTTCTAACCAGCTCGATAGTATGGGAACTCCTTTAAGCAATAGCCCGGGGTGTTATGTCCGTTCAGAATTGTTGAAACAACCTTCAGTACCTTCTACTTCTGTTGAATACTCTTGCTCTGTGTTTTTACTATTGAAGAAATGGCAACCAATACCTCAGGGTTTATTTCACAATTCCAACCTCTGACGTAATCCATCGTTAAATAAAATCTATCAAGGAGATGCTATCCTGATGATACCATCAAGCATGATATTTTTAATATTGCTTCATCATCATTCATTCTGTTATACTAAAGAAATAATTGGTTAAATGTGTCGTTTTTTTGTGTCTAGACTCTCGAAATGGCACGTCAGAACTTGGAGAGTTATCAACAGGCGCAGTACCAAGTCTGGGAGCTGTGGCTGGGGTCGGTAGTGAAGACATGGCATCTTTGTGGGCTTCATATGCTATGGGTTTAAAAAAGACACCGCCTCCTGCATCATCTTGCACACCATCACGTTCAGATCGTGATAGAGAGTCCAGTCCTGCTGGTGGTGAAGGAGCTGGTAGTGCACAAGACGAAACAAGTAGCAGTGGAAATAAAGAAGATGAAGATGACGATGATGAAGATGCTGATGAAAGACTTGATCCACGACATCATGATCCAGAACGTCTTAAAGCTTTTAACGTAAGTCATCCTACCTTTTGCGGATCCTTTATTCTAAAAATATTTCCAACGATAAAACTTTACTACCTCCCATTTCCTCATTTAACTTCAAGTTATTCTAGAACATATTATTCAGAAATTCCTGGAGGAATTTTATTTTGTGATTGTTATTGTGATGTTGGAAAAATAATAAAATCAATTCTCTATCCATTGAACATGTAGGTTTTATAACATATCAGTTTTGAAGAATTAGAAATGATTATTTATCAATATCGATTGTAATGATAAGCGCTAATAATAAAAATGAAAATTACTACTGTACTCCTGTCTATAGTCTACCAATGAAATAACAGGAATTTTGCTATCAACCATGCATAGCTGTAATGCATGTAATTTTATTGTCACTTTTGAATAAACTAGCACCTTTATGTTTTCTATTCAATGAAGATTAACAAGTAATCATTAGAAATTATCACAAAGTCCTTTGTTAGCATTTATACAATTTTCCTGTCATCTCACATAATTCATTAATCAGTCAACAATTAGTCTATTCCATCATTCAATGATACAAATTCAGATAAAACTAAGATTAAATTTGGTTAGAACTGAATATATGTTTGACTATAAAAAGTTTTTATAAAGAGGAGTAATATTGTAATAATTAGTTACCTAAAGAGTAGAACAATCATGAAAATTTGCATAAATTTTTTAGTATAATTAATCTCTATGCTATAAAGTAATTCATTTTATAGTTAAAAAAACGTTTTGATGTGATTTAATTTTTATTTTAAGTGTGTATTTTGCTGTAAAAAAGTTGTTTATAGATCAAGTTTATTGTTTCTGATTAAAAATCATGTTAATATGTAAATTTAATCATTTTTCTTACAATTACATTGATCATAAGTCATCTCTCTGAACTTAAAACTCACAAATTATAAAACAAATATAATCTTAGTAACTAGCAATCAATCACAGTTAAATAAAATGTTCAGAAATGTATATTACTTATAACTTCAATAAACTTGTCTATTTAAAGTTTTTTTACTCGAAGATTTGTTATAAATAACAACTTATTAATCAACCGTTTAAGACGTTAATCTTAGTCATTACCTTTGCAATCAAAGTAGGATTAAATCATCATTGAATAAAAAAGCCTCCAACAAATAGAAGCATAAAACTTGAACCTATAAAAATTCAATTACATGATGAATTTCCAGGAAACTGGTTAAGTGAATAAAAAGTCTGTTTTACATTTTTCGTCAAGCTTAATTATATTTTTACACTAGCAAATGCTTTGTAAGAGGAGCAGAAGCATCAGAAAGCCCTCACACAATGCTCGCCGGTAGAGCAGCTTCTTAATTAATTACAATTAGTTTAATCGAGCTACGGTAGGTCCCCCCCCCTATCAGTTAAATTCTTAATTCCTTCCACAATGTTTCTTTCTAAAGCGTGAGCAACTCCTTTCCCCTCATACTTAAACATCAACATCACCACCACCACCACCACCAGCATCATCACCACCACCCTATTATTCTCATTGTTCTTCTCTTGATTCCGGCAGATGTTCGTCAGGCTCTTCGTCGATGAGAACTTGGACCGCATCGTCCCGATCTCAAAGCAACCCAAGGAAAAGATTCAAGCTATAATCGACAGTTGTACACGACAATTCCCAGAGTTTGCTGAACGTGCGAGGAAACGAATCAGGACGTATCTGAAGAGCTGTAGAAGAAATAAGAGAGGAAGAGAAGGTGCACCGTGGGACGCGGTGAGTTGATACAAATTTTTCACGAGCCTCTTTCTTCTTTGTTCTTTACTCTACAAGGATTAAAGGACAAAAATGGGACAAAGAAGTCAGCTAGATTCTATACTCAATGCACATTTTCTGAATGCTTGGAATGTACATCTCTTGGAAGAAGCTTTTTTCAAGTGATTTCTCTTTTCCCTCTTTATAAGTTGTTTTATATTTTTATTTATTCACTCGTCTCGAAATTTAGTTTTCTTATTTTATTTCAGGCGAGACCAACGCCGGCTCACTTGACCTCGGTGCAGGCGGAGCAGATTTTGGCAACGGCTTGCGAAAACGAGAGCGACAACGCGAAACGCATGAGGCTGGGTCTCGAGCCGGTCTCACAACCCATGCCTACATTGCCAGCGGCTACGGTGAGTAAACCATTGAGTGGAGACTAATAACTCACGTCGACTTCAAGTCCGCCTCGTATCGTTCTAATTTCGTTCCATAAAAAATTGTCTATACTCCTGCTGCTCTTTTTATCCGAGAAACAGATATTTTACATCGGATTTTATCGAGTAGCAAATGAAAAGAAGAAAAACACGACTCCTCACGTAAAAGAATAATTTATTGTTTAATAACAATTTTTGTTATCCGGTACATAATAATAAATAAGATAAATAAATACTCGGTAGTTATTTAAAATAACTGTTTTTATTTCAAATTTATTGAATATTATTCATTTTTCTGTATGATAGAAAGTTGAATGCATTTTATATGGAACTACGTGAATCGGGATGTAGGTATATTGAGTAAAGGCACACACTGATAACCTCATGGTTAGGTCGTGCTTACCTCTCCCACTCTTGGAATACGCGCATACCCAATGTAAATCGGCCGTGCACTCTGGCCCCTTGGTGTAGAAAAAAGCCACTAAAAAAATATGTAGGAGAATCGAAATGATAAAATCGCGTATTCCCATTTCCTTATCACCACTCACTTGATCAATGAATTTACCAAGACATTACTCTATTCGCAATTTCACTATAAAAGCTGCTGCTAGATTTACCTTCTAATTCTTAGTGGAGATGATGAATTGCCTCAATACTTACTGAAGACGCTGGTACTATCTATTTTGAAAATCCCTCCAACTGATAACCTCAGACGACCTAAACCTAACCCATTAGAGAGACCAAGAATCCCTCGTCTGTCGTCTCTGCACCTATATAATTGACGTCAACGCCATACTGCTCGTCTTTCATAAAAACACCTCCCTACATCCGGCCCAACATCTCCAACTCCCCTCCTAGTCCCTATCTCTCTCTTTCTCTCCTGAATCATCTCCAGTCTCAATATTTTTGTCTTCTACTTCATCTTCTCTACCCGAATTCCCAGTTACTCAACTTTACACTCACATCTGGTCCCCTCCTCATTCTTTCTCAACATCCACCAGTTAGTTCTTATTTTCCATTGCGACTCAACTCGTTTTCTTTTCTTTTCTTTTTTTTTATCTTCATTGTCTTCTCTCCCTCTTCAATCTCTATTTTTTTTCACTTTTTCCTTTCTTCTTCATCACTTTCCATCTCTCTATTCGTACTGATCTCTCCTCCACCTACTGTCTTTTTGCTTCATCCTCATCTCTGTCGCCGTCGTCGTCATCATCGACCTCATCGTGGCGGTTGGTCGTTGTCGTTTGTAATCAAGCGAGAGTCGTGGCAGTACGAGTGAACGCGTACAAGAGGCAGGAAGTAGTGGAGAATAAGCAGAAGAAGGAGAGGAAGGAGAGTATAATATGCAAGTGGTGGCTATGGTTGTTGTTTGTGAGCAATGAGGAATGATGTCGATGGTCTATCGACGAAGAAGTGATTGTACGGAGATTGAGTCACGCTTGTTTCGTTGGTTAGTGCGAGACGACGTGCTGTAACCCAACATGACGAAGTGTAGTATTGGAAACGATGATCGATAACGCAGCCATTTCAATGTGGGATTAATCATCAACCTTTAATTTTTAATACCTTTACTACTTACTCACCATCAGGCTTGGAACTCAAACATGAGGAAAAAGAACCTGAGAGTTGTTCATAAACAACAGATTTGTGATTACTCTCAGGATCATCAGGTATTAATTCTATTATACCACGCTGTATGTCGTCGTTTAATTACTCAATCCCCCAGTATAACTGTGAAAAAAATACACTAGATAATAAGTATCAGTGTATGAAGAAATTGACACAGATTGACGTTGGCATAAAAATATATCATGATAATTCGAAAGACCTAAAGCTCATTTAGAGAATTGAACTTTAATTAATTATAAATAAAAGATTATTCTTTTTCTTTAATTAATATATATTTTTTTACTAATTAAATGATGGCTTTTTGTTACAGCAAACAGACGTACGAGCAAGTCTCGATCACTTTTCAAGTACTCCAGTTAAATCGCTCCCTGGTAAACGAGAAGATACTCCACCTACGTCGATGACATCTCTTGCACCTTTGACTAGTTTGGCCAATCTACCTAGCAACACCCTTGCCTCAACGCCTCTCTCTCTAGCTCCAGCTTCGAAACTATTGACACCCTCGGATAACAAGGGTCTCATGAGGTGTGTTTGCAAAAGCATTGACCATGTTATTTTGCATGATATAACTATATAGAGGGCTTGCGTAAGCTTCTGAATATAACGACGTTAGTACGGTACTTAGTCGTGCTAGAGAAACTCGTGATGTTGATGAAAGGTTTGGTAACAATGTAAAATCTCTGCCTTTGAACAAAATCATATATGAAAGATAAGAAAAATGATTTAATCAATGTCAAATGACAGTATTTTTTTCATCTAAATTAATTATATAATTTTAAATTATAAATGCTAAATAATCAACTTTAATTTATCATTTTCAAACAATCTTTATGATTAAATATCTATTTTTTTGAAAATCAATAATTGTTTTAAATCAACACAAACTTATACTGTAAATTAAATAATTACTGTTAAGTGAACATTTACCTTGACTAAGATTGCCTGATTCTCTGTGATTGACGATTACCTAGCACGCGCGACATTCAATGAACCCGTTGATGGATAAATTTCCTGAACAATTTTACAATTGTGATTTTAGCCAGGCGACGATAGTTAGCTCGTCAGCAGTAAACGGCGTTGGAAGTAGTGGAGCACCAACAGCTATGTACAGACCAAACTTTAGTCAAGCTTTCCAACGTGCTGTACCAACAACTGTCCCACCTACCTTGTCAGCTGGACTTTATCCCACTCAAAGCTTTACTTCAGGCCTGTTAAGCAACGGTACACAAAGTAATACTAATGTTTTTTTTTATTTATTTTGAAGTACAAACTTTTTCTTATTTTGGGTTTTACGTAAACTTTTCTTATTGGGTTAATGTAAATGAGAAAAAAAATAAAATATAAATTTATCATTTTTTCCTTTCAGTTGATTAATGAATATATTGTAGAATATTTGCTTTAACCCAATTCGAAAGAAATGCACAAAAATATTTATTTGGTTATTTTTTCTTTTAGGACCAACGGACCTTAGTATGAAGAACACGAAGCCGTTGCTTAGTCATAAATTGAATGCAACGGAAATGACCGCCGTGAGGCAACTGATAACTGGGTATCGAGAGTCAGCAGCATTTTTATTAAGGTCTGCCGACGAGCTTGAACAACTGTTGCTGCAGCAACCTTAACTTATGATGGATAAAATAAAATGTTCATTGGAGCTATTACCGATGCTCCATCAATTATATTAGCAGTTAAGAAGCAGAAGTAGAAAAAGTAGAAGCTGAAGCAACAGTAGAAAATTTTCAAACGAGCTTTCACCAACAGGGAAAAGTTCTTCAAGTTTAATTCTGGGTTAAAGCCATTACTCAGTTCATTTACCGACCGCCGTCGTCGACGTTACGTCGACGATTCTACTGCTGGCAATGAAAACTTTCGCTGATCAACGAAGCACCTCTGTCTGCAATAGAGAGTTCCTTATCACTGCAAGTTCATTCTCTGGATATTTAGCGAGCTGAAAATTTGATCGTCGACAAATCTGCGAGCCAAATTTGTCAATTTAAAATATAGCAGCTTAATGTATATCTATCTTCGCTCGGTACTTGATTTTTCCCCACTTAAGCTTTGATATATAAATTAATGGAGAAAGTGAGGAGATAACTGGATGAGCATTGATGTAGTTTAGAGAATAAGCCAAGTGTTTCGATGTGCGCAAATGGAGCATTAGTTTAATAATTAAGTTATAAAATATTCATAATACTGATACAAAAATTATAATAATAATAATAATAATAATAATAATAATAATAATAATAATAATAATAATAATAATAATAATAGTTATTATAATGATAGACTCTTTAAATTAAAAAAATTATTGAAAAAACAGGGTGTATATAAAAAAAATTACGAATATTTACTTAATTATCGTTAAGATGTTTAAGAAAAAAATAAAATAAATGTTTGATTAGTGTGAATACACATGATTGCTTATATGCACATATAAATACGTAACAATGAGCATAAAGCCATTTTTGTAATGATTAAATTCTTGATGCATTTTTTTATCTCTTGAAATGTCATAACTCAATTCATAAACAAATGTAAAAAGATTTTTTTATTTACAATTTTTATGTTAATTTTATATTTTTCAACAATTTTACACAATATTTCCTCTATTGAATTATTGGTATTGTTAATTGAGAATTATTTCTAAGATGACTGAGCTCTAAAAGAATTTTTCTTTGATCATTTGAAGTTTCTTTTCATCATTTCGAATAAAAAAAAAAGGAAATTTTATAATTTAAATATCCAAAATTTCATATTGTAGATTAATTGTTATAATAATTGGAGAAGAAAACAAATGAAATTTATATAAAATAAATTCTAAATTTCAAGAGAAACGTAGAAATGTCATTAATGTATTGATTTTATTGTGTATATAATAAAATAATAATTTATGCATACAAATGTCACATTCTCGCTAATCGTGTAGATATCAGACACGACGATAAATGAATATTAAGCGCTTGAATAGCGTAAAATTATCGATTCATAATTAACTCTGTATGTATATACACGATAAATATAAGTACATGATTGTGAGGGAGACTGAGTCTCATTGATCATCTTTAAGATCAATATAAATATTCTATACGTAGATTACTCAATAGAGTAAGAGAAGTTAGTTCATTTGGTATAATCATAATAATTAATGATCACAATAATTGAATTAAACAATAAAAATTAAACAAAATAATTATGTTTGGCGATTGGGACCATCTCGTCACCATCGGACAATACGCGGTGCTTTGTATGGTTCCCATACTCACCGCCGTGCAACCAAAGAACAAAAAAAAACGATAAACAAATAAAAAAATTAGTCGTAGTAAATCGTTATTGTAGTAGTTAATTAATTCTTTATTTATATTTTTTCTTATCTTTGTCGTTTTTTATTATCAAAACTGTGCAAAGCGAGGAAAAGTACTTTAAATCTTATAGAAATCACGAGATTAGAAGAGAAGCATAAATTTAAGATAAATGTCTAATGAAAAAAATCGATATTGATAAAGAATAAATAATAAAATAAAAATGTGAGAAATGTGCATAAATTAAAGTGAATGGAATTGGTTTATGTCAATGTCATCGTTAGTTTTATTCTGTCGTTGTTTTGTACATAGTTTATATATTGGAGGAGTGCATATATTGAATATATTAGTGTTTATTTGATATATAGAAACATATAATAATATAAATATATTTAATGCGACTATTGAACTGCTCCTAAACATTAAAAGAGAGGACACAGAATTCTAAGATTATACATTGCAAAAAAAATTTATTGTAGTATCAGTAATACACATTCCATCTGGAAAAAATTGTTAGTTGTAAAAAAGAAAAATAGATTCGAGTGTTCTTGATGAAAAAAATTACTTTACTTAAAAGCAAGCGTACTTTATTCAATTTCCTTTTTTATTTATCTGAGAAAAAAAAATTAAATAAACGCTTGATATTTAATTATTGTCGTGCCTCGTTGAATAATACAATTTTACTTAAACTTTTATTATGTATTGTAGCCTATTAATGGCTAATTTATCGATTAAAAGAGTTTATTATTACATTTTTTTTAAAATGTTTTTACATTTTTTTTCTGATTTTTTTTTGTCACCATTTATGATTTCATTGAAGAACAACTTTTTTTAAAGATTTTGTTTTTTTGAAAAATTTATCTGCTTACGCAAAAAATTTATGTAACTCAATAGAACCGGTATAAGAATTGATTGTACAAATAGAAAAATACACACAGTATGCTAAAATTGATTACATAACAACTACATAGTCATTAAAATGAATGGATGTGAGTGCACTTCACGCGTAGCTTATGATTATTACAATTATTCTCTGCAATTATAAAATAGCAATAGTAATTACCACGGATTATAGCGACCGAACATTCGTTAGTTGCCAGAATGAGGTAACTCAAGTGTCGATTCCTCTGTGATAAAAAATAAAAATAAAGAAAAAAAAGTAATTTCATTCTCATTAATACTTATATCGCCGAAATTTTTATAAATTAAAACTCGCGATTGTAACAAATTTATTTCCATTTCAAATATAAAAAATATGGAGGATTAGAATATTAACTAATGAATAAAAATAAAAATGAAATGATATATAAATGTAAACAAGAATTTATTTTTTATTTTTCCAAAGCTTGTTATTGATTGAAAAAAAAGAATTTTTTTAGTTCAAGTGTGCCATTGTTTTTATACGTTCATTCTTGAACAATTTTCATATTTTTCAAGTACTGTAATATGTAAATTAGTTCTTCTTGTAAAGTGGCACTTAATTATGTATCCAAAAGATAATTAATAAAAAAGAATAAAACGAAATAAAATGGTGTACGCAACACTCGACAGTGGGATAGAAAAAGGGACACTTTTGAATTAGGTGAAAATGAAAAATTTTTAATTAATTAACAACATTAGTCAAATTTTTATCTGTTAATCATTAATTATACAAAGTATTTTAAATAATGAAAGTGTCCGTTCCTCAATCCATACGGATTTACAACTCTACAGTTCATATAATCGCGAATTGATGTATATTAAATATCTATTAAAAAAAATATGTATTTGTTTCTGCAAGAATAATATTTGTAGTAATAACAATTATATTATTAATAAAAATTAATTGAAGATAATAAGAATAATTAACATTAACGACAACTAATTATAGTGAATATAATAATAACTGATAACAATAATATTTAATAATAATTATAAATCCTATTGATAAAATTAATTCGATGGTATATACTTTCTTATGAGTGACATTCTACATGATTAGCTGTAGAGTTGGTACAGTCTTTGACAATGCCTTGCCTGTAAATGTAATACGCGTTGAATGACAAAAGAAAAAAAATTATTACCTTGTAAATGTTTTACCAAATATAATCAACCATTAAATTTATGCTTACTTAACCATTTTTTCATTTGATAAAAAATAAAGGCATTAGTATTTAATCAAGTATTCCATGGTTAATCAAATTGATTCTTTTTTTACTCAATAATAATGGTATAATGCATGATAGAACCTGATTGATTTTTTATTGATAAAAAATCGAGAATCAAGGCCTGAAATATTGAAATTATTACTCGTCTGCTACTGCCTTTATTTATAATCATGTTTAATGATCCTACCGATTAATTTACATCAATGCCACAGCAATAACAAATGCATGAAATTTTCAAGGAATAATAACCAAATTATTGTACATTAACTTTACAACAAAATTGATATGAGTCATTTATTACAACTTGAATGTAGATATTTATTATTTCCAAGTTTTTTAAGTGAGTTAATGTAGTGCTTTGAAAGAATGTAAATCTGTTCCACATAGAATGTAGACTGTATTCAACAACAACAAAAGATGATTTGTTTTATTCAGAAAAACTTACATATTAGGTACATCGATCGTTACAATCAATCATGAATGTTTTGATTTATAATGGAATGTTTTAGATGGATTCGTGATTCTCGACACTTGTCTAGCGCGATTGTCAGTGGAATATAAAGATTTTATTTAACTTTTAAATTATCCCAACATATTGACCTGCTTATTTTTAAACTTTATCTTCAGTACTTCAGTACATACTTTATTGTCACATATCAACTTGTCGCAAAAGCATCTTTCGATCTATCACACATCAGAATATTCACTAACTTATCCTGCCATTAGCAATCTAAATGAACTTCTAAACGTAAATCTAGTACACTTGGTCAGTGTAATTTTGATTACAGTTGATGTTTATGATAACAATGGTGTCTCTTTCAAAATTATTTCAATACTAAATCATTATTTTTCATGAATATACAGCAATAAATTTCTTCTTCATGACATCAATAATATCCGCTATCTAACACAGACTTTACATTTCTTTTCATTGTAGTCTAAGCAATATTACTCGCTTTATTTTATGTGCTCTCCTGACATTACCAGTGCTCGTAACATAAATATAATCCAGAAGATATTAACGTTTGATAAAGTGGGAGATAAAGCTGGATATTGTCATCTTATAGATGACCGACTTTTACTACAAGCTCCGAAGCAGCTGCAATAGACTTGAGAGATTGCTAACAAGTACTGTACAAGCTTTCATTTTACAAAGCATCGTTTTATCTTACAATTGTTCAACTGATAAATGATAAAATCATATTTAATTACATTCAATTATTCAGAGCGAAAGTGAGATGATTTTATTGCAATTCAATGATACGTTAACAAAGATATTGTTGAAATAATGTCATTAGTTGAAGAGATGATTGAAATTTTTTACCCTTTTACAATGTGTATGTACTCTATTATGATTTTTATCATTTTTCAAACAGCCTTATAGTGAGACTTAATATTAGGTTGTCTAATAATAGATATTTTACAACCGAAATGCAGTTATATCAAAGTTAACTTCTTTTTTATGTACCTACAAAAAGCAAAGCTAGTTAATTTTACGAGTTATTATTTTTTTATATTTTTTCAAAGTTTTATTAAACTTAAGATACGTAACTAGACGTAGTAAAGTTAAACAGCAAAAGAAGTTTATTATTTTATAGTTTTTTTCCTGAGCTAACGGCGATAATACATCTGTTTTTATCACATAATTACATCTAGTCGAAATACAAAAAGATTTATTTAAACTTTACAAAATTTTACATCATTGATTGTACGTTCATTTTATTGTTGCAGACAAAAAACTTGATTTTGTCATATACTTTTCTGGGTTCCTCTCAATTTTAGTTCATTGAGCTTAAGTCAGTTTAATTAATTTATTAATTATATCTCTGAAT